ACCTGTGCATTTTTGTGATATTGACTACTGATTTCTTAGCTTCTTGTCTGTTCTTTTAAATTTCAAGATGTTGATATGCAAAGTTTGGTGGCGAGTCGAGTTCTAATTAAGCGATTAAAACAAAGCTTCTGTAGACTGCTATAGATCTACCTCAACATGATTTTGATGCATAGTTTGAGATACTGAGCAGCCATGTTATCTTTCTTCGCTTTCCTTTATCTCACTGTCAATATTGATTTTCAGAATACTGATGTCCAAGTTTAATTTAGAAGATGTACTGATGCAAGTGATTGAATCCTCAGAAGATGAGTCTGAAAACTGTGTCGAACTCTTGGATACAAGGAGTGTTGAGGAAGTAGTCAGAGAGCTTACCTCGGTGAATAAATCAACTAATTCGGCCGACAACTTCAGTAATGAATCAAGTTCAGTTAACAATGATGATGGCGACCCTGATTTTGAACTCAGTGATTCTAATACTGATACCGAAGAAATTGTTGTGGATGAAAGACCCGAATGTCAGTCTGAAGATCAGAATCAAATTGAACCAAACTTAACCACTAATGATACACCAAGTAAAACTAATGACCATCCTGATACAGTTGTAGAAGTACCCCGTGGCAGAAAACGAACAAGAAATGAAGAATTATGGCAACGAAATATCAGAAAGAGAAAGCGTCAAGTAGGAGATGAATATATTAGTCAGAAAGGGGTTAGGATTTCAAAAAAGGGTGAATATTACAAGTTGGGAGATAGTACAAGACAGAAGGATTTCATTTGCGCATTGACATTAGAAGTGGATATAGCTAGGAGACGAAAAAGAAAGGAATCGAGCAGCAAAAACAGAGACAAAAACTATCAGTATTTTCTTCCAGTAACGGACACAGAAAATGTTCGTGTATGTAAGTTGTTCTTCACCAAAACACTCAGTATAAGTCATTCCACGGTAACAAATGCTCTCAATAGTAAAGGTGTAACTGGAACCTACATAGGAACAGATAAACGTATTAATAAAGCAGCCCCAAATAGAATTCCAGAAAACAGTATAACTGTAATCAAAGATCACATGAATTCATTCCCACGAATTGAACCACATTACTGCCGAAAGGACACAACTTGTCAATATTTAAGTCCAGAATTAAATATTTCAAAGATGTATAGGTTATACCTTGATTTCTATAAAGATAGGGAGGTGGAACCTGTAAAAGAGTCTATGTATCGCCATATTTTTGTTACGCAGTTTAACTTGAAATGTTTTGTACCAAAGAAAGATCAATGTTCAATATGCAATCAATATTATGCAGCAGATGATGATGGTAAAAGTCAGTTAAATGAAAACTGGAATGAACATAAAGCAAGAGAAGGAGAAGCATTAGAAGA